TTCATCCGCTGTCCAGAGGGAGCCCGAGTAGAGGGTTTATAGAGAGTTTGTTATCGGCTTCCTCTTGCGCTGAGTCACCTTTACGTGAACAACTTGAACATTTCACCATTCTGCGAGGAACTACTTCGTTGCTGAGCTTCCTTTACCAGCAGCCGGCTGGCAGCTCAAGTTACTAACGTATTTATATCCAGTACCGACTTCAGTGTTCCAAGATGTTCGCAGCTTTACACAGGAACATTACAAGCGAAAATCCACATAATAATTTCAATGGAACTAGCACGCACGCTTTAGTTCAGTTCAAGCGCCTCGCTCGACAGACGGACATGGCATACTTTCGAAAATATCTAAATGGACAGATTAAAGGAATACTAAGTTTTAGAAGATGCTATTTCGAAGCTAGTACACATCTCCACGTATTCCACGAACGTTTCAGCTCTCAGGGTTGCTAGACGACAATGATCAACATACACCGTTGTACTTCCTGTAAGTACTGCTATGGATGTATTTTATAAATGTTGGGTTAGTTGCGGGGTACTTGCTAGAAAGTGCTCCACACCAAAGTGCAAATTTGCAAATATGATTTTGGCGCCAGATTTGATCGGACCTGAAAAATTGTTGAGAGAGTCGAGGGCGAAATGAATATACCATAATCCGCAGATAAATACACGCTTTTTAATGAAGGTTTAAATATCTTACACTTTTGTCATTTTTTTTTTTCTTCTTACACTGTCTAAATCTCTTACCGAGTCTCTTATCTATCTATCGAATGTCGAGCGAATATCAAGGCCTGCCGACTCTACGACAGCGTAAGAAAAATATGGACATTCACGCTAGACTTATATTCGAGGTGTTAGCCTAAAACGACCCGGCGGAATCTTCGGAAAGACGTGGCCACAGCCTCCAGATATCTCCTCGGTTGATCTGAGGTTATTTCAATAATAAGTAATAAAGGTGCTATTTCAAAGAACGGCAATTGTTTTAGTTACTTCTCCAACCTTCCGCGTGAGCAGTGCTTCAAGGGCATTGAAAGTTACACACAGTTTAATATTGTTTCCTTTTTGTTTGCCCGTTATCGTTTAATACTTAGGTATCTAGGCGACCGAAAACTCTGACAACGACTAAATCGATGCGTGCAATGGTTTATATACCTCTGAATGAAGCTTTTCTATAATATAGAACATGATGTAATTCCGTGCGAGTTCCAGTATAAAAAAGATGCTCGACTTGAGAGAACGCTTGTAAAAAGACAGGAAAAGTCATAGGGTTTTTAGGGCAGCTAATTTGTTATTATAGTAATATAGAGCGACAAAAAATCGTCTGCTTTCTCCCATGAAATTGAAAGCTATTTGTGTACGCAGCTTTACTGAGGGCTGTTTTCGGTTTCCCAATGAAGAGCCTAAGTCGTAAATAATGTATGTTTTTATTCACGCTGCGTGGATAAACTCATTGTTAGAATAATCTATATTCAATGTTTCATGTATTCGGCCCAGCTACGGTCGAGCGGTGAGTAACAGTAATGGAATTATATTAATGTTTTTATTATATGATTTTTCAACGAGTTCCACGCATCGAATCTTGCTCCAACCATATCCATATATAAACGCTATCGTATTATGATATTGTTTTGTGTTTCGTGCAGTTTTGCTGTATATTTTTTTTTAATATAAATTTGGTTTGTTTTTACTGGTTGGAGCTGCTTACTCGAGCATATAATAGGATACTAAGATAGGTAGTTTTTCGCTCCGTGCGATTCGGTAAGCTCTGTTCAAAATCTAACTAGCGATTAAAACGTTGGTTACGCAAGACTGTACGCTAAGACACCATGTTTCAAGGGGATATAGTTATTAAACTATTGAAAAATTAATTTACTTTTTTTTTTTTTACTATAGGCAGCTAAAGAACTCTAGCCTACTGCTGCCAAGAACCTCGCTTGTTCCACGTAGATAAACTCACTGCATGATGCCAACACATGAAACGTAAACGCTGTGAATGCGGCCAGCGCCCCCAAGCGAAGCTTTTTCTCGTCCGGCGAAAAGCCAAGACGCACATACGCATTCGCCGCACCTCTTGTAGAAACATGTGAGTTAGCCATGTCGTAAAACCACGAGATTGTTAGGCTCCGCCTCCTCACGGGACGTTAGGCCCCGCCCAATTCGTCCCGGACCGCCAGCAGCTCGGCTCCAGCCAAGCAGTCGTACTGTCCATGAACACACGAAAAAAATGAAGCTAGTAAGGGAATTGATCGTAGCGGCATCGTCGACGCGGTAGTACCGAGCATCGAAGGTCGTTCGACGGTTAGAACAAAGCATTCTGCCGTCATTCAGACCGATGTACTTTGCCTCGTCGTGTGGTCACCGATTTCAGAATTCGATTGACTCAAGAAGAACCTGTCAATGGTTAGCCGACATAAAACAAAAGATATAAAGAATCGTTTTCTAAAAGAGGACCTTTTCTCTGTTTCTATACCTCTCGAATATGTTTGTGTGCGTTGGAAACATTTCCACAGTGTTTTTGTGTGTGTCTCGCTGTGTGTAAATTACGCTGTTGTGCGCGTTTAACAGTTTGTCCGTGGCAACAGACGCGATATTAACACCGTCTGCATCTTCATAATTGTTACTCTCGCGACAGTTGCTAACGTCACCATGACGAATCGTTCCGCTATGTGATCTTTACTCTGTACGTCTTTTCGTAATTACTCCCTAATCATATATATCTACTTTGTGTTCTCGTGAAATGTGTATGTGCAAGTTTTTTGTGTGTCCACCAGTCTCCCTTGGCCTTCATTCGAGTGCATCTTGCAAAAGTCATCGTCGTCTTCGTTGTCATCTTCAGCACGCCCCATTCCCTCGTCACCGTCGTCAAACTCAGCGTTTGGCGGCGGGAAACTCCAACGGCACCGCCGATTCTCCGGCGTGAGAAGGCGAAGCGTTCTATGTCGTTGTCCTCCCTCGAGCCTGTCACTTTCGTTGTTTCACTCTCTCTCCATATACTTATCTGTGCCTGCCTGACTGTCTGTCTGTGTACTAGAGTCAGCGGGTACCTTGGCTTGCGCACGCGGCTGTTTCTCCGTTCGTCCGTCCGTCCGTCCGTTCGTTCGGTGTGCCGCGCGCCTACCGGTCCGCCCGCCCCTCTGCCCGCTTGTCTGCTCGGCGTCGAACAATCTCAAACAAACCCATAAAGACACAGGCACATACATACAACACACGCAGAGCATTTCCACCAGCGGCGGCTTACGCTCGCGCTTGCATTCGCCCGTTTCAAACGGCGCTGAGACGTTCACTCACTTGTCATCATCCGAGCAGCCCCAACTCCTTCTCTCCCCCGACCTATTAATATGTGCACGCAAACCTACATACCCACCAACTCTTGCCACTCATATTTGTTGTCCCGTGCGACAACTATTTCGACGATCCCTTCTTATCGTTACTGAGCGTCGAAGCAGTCAGCCATCTGTCGGCCACCATACTGACTCACGGCCGGAAGCAGCAATAACAACATTCACTCCGTCAGGCCAATCGTTAACGTTGGCACTCGTTCGGCCTGCCAGTTTGGTCTGGCGTAGCTCTCCCCCCTTCATTGCTGTGCCTTCGGCTGCTGGATTTGCTCGACGGCTGTCTACGTACATCGTCATCGCCATTGTCATCGCCAGCATCATTGTTAGCCCGTGCTGCTGCTGCTGCTGTTACTACTTCTAGTGGAAGTGGTGGGGGCGGCGGCAGCGATGCCCCCGTATTTTTTCGTTGGTGGTGGTGATTGTTGTTGTTGTTATCATCGTCGTCGTCGTTATTGTGGCCATAGCTTGACGTAGTGTTAGCTGCGGTCGTTATAGTCGTTGTCGCCATCGTTATCATCGTCGTTGCTGAAACTCGCACTGCGACTCCCGCCCTCCGCCTCCATCCTTCCTCCAGCTCAGAAACAACGCGGCGGCCGAAGCGGCTGAATCAACCAGCAGTAGTAGTGCTGCTGGTGCCAGCAGTGATAGTCGTGCGTTGGAGACGTCGAACGTTGACGGCAGCTGCTGCTGGTAGCTGTAGTATTGGTAGTAGTAGAAAGTGGTAGCCGCAGCTGCACAGAGAGTAGCAGGACGGGTCTGTCTGTCTGTCTGTCTGTCCGCCCACCCGTTCGTTCGTTCGCTTGGTTCGTCGCCGGGTCGGTCGGTCTTTGCCGATGAGGGGAAGCGAAAAGCGGCTGTCGCTGAGGACAGAGAGGAAGAGAAGAGAACTATCGATCGATAAAAATTTCATTCCGATTGCTGCACCCCACAATATCCCCGACGGCAACCCCCGAGCGCTTATACACGGTCACATACACACTCACACCCACTTGCCGACTGCCCCAGTTCCCCAACCCCACCGTTGTCTCTAACATCGTTCGCCGTCAGTGCGTGTCCTGGCCCTTCGTACTAGCGCTACTACTATCAGCGCTACCACTGGCATTGGGGAGACCGCCGCGCTCTGCTATACTGTGTACTCTCTGCGTGGACCCCTGCGCCCCTATCCCCTTCACTGCATATCGTAACCCCTGTCCACTACCAATCGCTCCCCACTGTCCCTAAGCGGTTCCCCCACCGTCCGTTCATCCGTCCACCAACCAATCCCAATTGCAAACCCTGCTCCGAAGCGAGACCAGCGTATCCCCTTCTCGTTTGGTAGCCGATGCTGCCGCCTTGTGCGCGCGGTACAGCGCGTGCCCCCCATCAGTTCGGAGCCCTCTGCCGCTGCTGTGCTCGCTACTTTGGGAAAAGCCGGGCTTTCGTTGCACCCTCCTCTGGCTAACTCTGAGCTTGAGGCCGCGGCTGAGTCCGATGGTGCTGCCGTTACCCCTGGCGGTAAGTGCTAGTGCTACTCGCGCCCTCCTCCTCATCGTCGGCAGTGGCGGCGGCGGCGGCGGGCCCCGTGCCCTCTCCGCGTTCTCCTGACTGGTGCTGCTGCTCCGTCCTCTTCCGACGCTGCTCCGACTGTGTCTGTCGCTAGCTGCTCCGGCTCATCCGTAACCGTCGAGCCACCAGCCGCGCACACGGCGCGCAGTTCACGCCAAGGCGGTGCACGCCCCCCGTGCGCCCGCTGCCCGAACCACGGCTGCCGAAGCTGCGTCCGGGCAACGCGACTACTATAGTTACTGCAACTACTGACCTGCCTTGTCCTGGCCTGGCCAGCTCTGCCTATTGCTGCTGCTCGGACCGGCTTCTCGAGGCTGGCCGGCCGTTGTACGCTCATTCTCTGCTAAAATTCGGGCCAGCAATAGCAGCAGCAGTAGCGACTGAGCACCAGCTGCCGTGCGACACGAAAGGATTTCCTACATGAACCGCCGAGGCTTGGGGCCCGCGCAAACGACGAACGCACCCGGCAGCAGCAAGGGCCTTGAGGAGGTAGCAGTAGCCGCTGTCGCCGCCGCGGCCTCAGTCTATTGGACAGACTGTCCACAGCAAAGGACTCGCACCAACGGACCAACTACGACTCCCTAACGATCAACAGACAACGAAGTCGGCGATGACAAATCAAAACATCACAGTTGTTGTTGACTTGAAGCTTTAGTTATCGCCAGTGTGAAATTAGTGTGAATTATCTAGGCCAAATATCAGCAGTTTTCGTATTTGAAAAGTTCTCCCGCCCATCCCTATTCTATTTGCATCAACCTAATGGTAATCGTTGATTTCTTTGGTTTCTAAGATGAGGTGAGCCTTAGCCACGATGAACCGAACGCCTCGATAAGCCCGCGAGAAGTGGCAGCCGCGAGAGAAGTACGGGCAAATACCACCTGCGATATCTGCAGTTTCATGCCTACATCATCTGGCCGTAGCATCATACAGGAAGCAAACTAGGACGCAAGCCTGACTCTAAAGAACAGCGCTAAAAGTGCCCAGAACAGCATCGCGGAACAAGCAGAACTAAAGGAAGAACACGGACACGAAGAACAAAGCACGCAAGGAATGAATTTGCACCAACAGCAGCATCGACCGCTCAACTGACGTAGAACAAACCAGAGCAATAATAAAAAAGCGAACGTAATCATCACTGTTCTACTTTGTGCCACGTACTGCTCGTACGACTAATCATCATAGTGATAATAACAATCCACTTAGCAGCAGGACGCGTCGGCCTTTCGTTGACGCTGACGTAGCTGGCTTTGAATCGCCGAATCGTGAACCATCGAAATGGAAACTGTCGTACATAGTGAACACTATAATGGGCTAGGATTGAGCCTGCATAGTGGCGGGACAGTGGGAGGAATGTTCGTGGACTATTCGCTTGGTCCGCACGCACTGCCGCCCCGTGAGCTCGACGAGCGCCTGGACCACCCACGCCACCCCGAGCGCACGAGTGCGCCGTCCTCCGACCGCCATGAAGCAAGACATGAAAGCCGACATGAGCGACACCACGATCGTGCTCAGGGGTCCGGTGGCAGCGGATCCCAGGAGAACGGTTCCTCGAGCGGCCGGAGTCCCGGCGCCAGTGGAGGCAGTAATAATAATAATACCAACGTTGGTAACGGCAATGTCGGAGGCAGTACAGTTAACGCCACTTCTGGTAGTGGAGGAGGAGGAGGTCACAACAACACTAGCAACAGCAACAACAACAGCAGTGGTGGTAATGTTGGTGGTGGTAACAGCAGCGGAAGCGGCAGCAGTGGTGGCCAGGCGCAGCGGGTGTCGAACAGCAGCAGCAGCAGCAGCAGCAGCAGCAGCAGCAGCAAACGCGGTTCGACCGACTCTGCGGGCGGCAGCCAGGGCAAACGCCCCGGCCGAAAGTGCGGTACTCACCTCCGGTTTGCGGATATCGATGCCGCCATGCTCCAGTGGATGCTTGACATGAACGCCTATAAAGTGCCTCTTTCGGACTCGACGATCCAGGCTAAGGCTAAACAGTTAGCACAGGTTAGTAGGATTTCATACAACTTTGTACAAGCACTCGCGCGCATGAGAACAATACAGTATATCCGCACATGCTAGACACATAGACATGTCTTCGTCACATAATGAATATTTGCCCGACGGAACTATATAGGCAGCAGGTTGTCTTCTAGGAATGCGCAAAGCACGTTCTGTCTGTTATACGAACAACAGCTACCCACCCACCTACCTTGTCACCTACTTGTCTGGATACCTATTCAATGAGAGAGCACAGGATGGGAGGCCTGGCTGCGACGCGCCGTGTTACTATATTCGGATACACTGCGCATTTTATCCTACTGCTATTATTACGAGTGGTAACACTATTATTCGTGTCGTCCGTGTGGTGGCGTACATGTTCCCTTCCGCCTTTTAGAACCTCGAATCGTCGACTGCGTCATTCTCCAATGGGTCTATGCATTGCGAATCCATGCGCGCTGGACTGAAGATGTAAGAAGATCGGTGGCAGTCATAGTAAATAATTGGGCCTCCCCCACATAGCGTTTTGCCACTTGCCTTGGGCCCCAAGTCTATTGGACCGAGTGTTACACAAACAGATATGGTAGAACAGCCAAATCTATTTGATACAATCCAAAAACTTAACCAAGACATAACATTGATGTTCTTTTTATCGAAGGGGCCCTTTCACTTTCTACTCCGGTTAGCTCTTATTGGGGCCTCAATTTATGCGCACAGTCGTAAACCTAGATAGCTTTTTAGTTATTTTAGCTTTTTCGACACAAGCGAATCGAGTGGTACGAATGATACCACCTTTGAGTGTGCCAATTTCGACACCAAGAAGTAATTCGATGGCCTGTTAGCAGCTCTGCATTCTTCGGTTTCTTTTTGTTTTATGAAAAACCATTTTTTTTTTACCAGGGGTTTAACCTGAAGTCGATTGGGAGGAACGGTGATGTGGGATCCACGTGGTCATGTTGTCCTAGCTACTGCTGGAAGGCATGCAGGGCCATGCCGGTTGCCGGTTCAGTAGAGGAAGGAGCTACCGGGTAGAAAGGCCTTGGGAAAGACGGGAAGTCGGGATAGACGAAGTATATGGAGGCTTTGGCAGACTAAGGCCAAGTCGGCCGCCGCTGCCGCCGCCGCCGCGTGGCAAGCATATAGGAAACCCCGTCCGTTCACCCGATACCGTCTTCCCAAGTCGCTTTCCGTATATAGAACCACTAGGTTTTGCCTTACCCCTCCCAAGCGCCACTTTTCCCAGCACATACACAGCCAGCCTTTGCCCGTTTCCTCGGACAACTTCCCTCGGCCTCTTGTTTCTACATCCTATATAGCCTCCGTCGCCCCGTTCTTCAGACCCCGCGCCTTCCTCTGGTCCGCTTCACTCCTCTCTGCTTCTCAGCAGTCTTCTCAGAAGCGCCATCCCGCGAGCTGCATTGCCTTTTTGGCCGGGCAAAAGCAACGCCAGCGAAGGGGCGAAGAGCGAGCAGAAAGAAGAACAGGAGGAGGCAAAAGCATCGGCGGCAACGCTCTGACGCACTGTCCTTCACGGCAAAACCAGCACAACCATCGCTGCTGCGGCCGTTGCCACTGCTGCTGTCACCACCATCACCACTAACGCCGTTCTCCTTCGTCCGCCAAATGGCCCCTGCGACTACCGCCACTGCTACTGCCCGCACCTACCAACACAGCTCTCTAGTTCTGCTCCCATAGCCTCTTCCTCCTCCTCCTCCTCCTCCTCCTCCTCCTCCTCTTCCTCCTCCTCCTCCTCCTCCTCCTCGTGCTTATTCTTGTTCCCTTCCGCCGCCGCTGCCGTCGTCTTCGACCTCTCTCTGACGTTACGCAAGCGGTCGACTGAGGAGACTGTGAGAAAAGACGAAGAACGAACGAAAGTAGTTGTAGCGGTAACAGTAGTAGTCGTAATATTAGTACCAGTGGAACGAGTATGGAGGAGGAGGAGGAGGAAGAGGCTATGGGAGCAGAACTAGAGAGCTGTGTTGGTAGGTGCGGGCAGTAGCAGTGGCGGTAGTCGCAGGGGCCATTTGGCGGACGAAGGAGAACGGCGTTAGTGGTGATGGTGGTGACAGCAGCAGTGGCAACGGCCGCAGCAGCGATGGTTGTGCTGGTTTTGCCGTGAAGGACAGTGCGTCAGAGCGTTGCCGCCGATGCTTTTGCCTCCTCCTGTTCTTCTTTCTGCTCGCTCTTCGCCCCTTCGCTGGCGTTGCTTTTGCCCGGCCAAAAAGGCAATGCAGCTCGCGGGATGGCGCTTCTGAGAAGACTGCTGAGAAGCAGAGAGGAGTGAAGCGGACCAGAGGAAGGCGCGGGGTCTGAAGAACGGGGCGACGGAGGCTATATAGGATGTAGAAACAAGAGGCCGAGGGAAGTTGTCCGAGGAAACGGGCAAAGGCTGGCTGTGTATGTGCTGGGAAAAGTGGCGCTTGGGAGGGGTAAGGCAAAACCTAGTGGTTCTATATACGGAAAGCGACTTGGGAAGACGGTATCGGGTGAACGGACGGGGTTTCCTATATGCTTGCCACGCGGCGGCGGCGGCAGCGGCGGCCGACTTGGCCTTAGTCTGCCAAAGCCTCCATATACTTCGTCTATCCCGACTTCCCGTCTTTCCCAAGGCCTTTCTACCCGGTAGCTCCTTCCTCTACTGAACCGGCAACCGGCATGGCCCTGCATGCCTTCCAGCAGTAGCTAGGACAACATGACCACGTGGATCCCACATCACCGTTCCTCCCAATCGACTTCAGGTTAAACCCCTGGTAAAAAAAAAATGGTTTTTCATAAAACAAAAAGAAACCGAAGAATGCAGAGCTGCTAACAGGCCATCGAATTACTTCTTGGTGTCGAAATTGGCACACTCAAAGGTGGTATCATTCGTACCACTCGATTCGCTTGTGTCGAAAAAGCTAAAATAACTAAAAAGCTATCTAGGTTTACGACTGTGCGCATAAATTGAGGCCCCAATAAGAGCTAACCGGAGTAGAAAGTGAAAGGGCCCCTTCGATAAAAAGAACATCAATGTTATGTCTTGGTTAAGTTTTTGGATTGTATCAAATAGATTTGGCTGTTCTACCATATCTGTTTGTGTAACACTCGGTCCAATAGACTTGGGGCCCAAGGCAAGTGGCAAAACGCTATGTGGGGGAGGCCCAATTATTTACTATGACTGCCACCGATCTTCTTACATCTTCAGTCCAGCGCGCATGGATTCGCAATGCATAGACCCATTGGAGAATGACGCAGTCGACGATTCGAGGTTCTAAAAGGCGGAAGGGAACATGTACGCCACCACACGGACGACACGAATAATAGTGTTACCACTCGTAATAATAGCAGTAGGATAAAATGCGCAGTGTATCCGAATATAGTAACACGGCGCGTCGCAGCCAGGCCTCCCATCCTGTGCTCTCTCATTGAATAGGTATCCAGACAAGTAGGTGACAAGGTAGGTGGGTGGGTAGCTGTTGTTCGTATAACAGACAGAACGTGCTTTGCGCATTCCTAGAAGACAACCTGCTGCCTATATAGTTCCGTCGGGCAAATATTCATTATGTGACGAAGACATGTCTATGTGTCTAGCATGTGCGGATATACTGTATTGTTCTCATGCGCGCGAGTGCTTGTACAAAGTTGTATGAAATCCTACTAACCTGTGCTAACTGTTTAGCCTTAGCCTGGATCGTCGAGTCCGAAAGAGGCACTTTATAGGCGTTCATGTCAAGCATCCACTGGAGCATGGCGGCATCGATATCCGCAAACCGGAGGTGAGTACCGCACTTTCGGCCGGGGCGTTTGCCCTGGCTGCCGCCCGCAGAGTCGGTCGAACCGCGTTTGCTGCTGCTGCTGCTGCTGCTGCTGCTGCTGCTGCTGTTCGACACCCGCTGCGCCTGGCCACCACTGCTGCCGCTTCCGCTGCTGTTACCACCACCAACATTACCACCACTGCTGTTGTTGTTGCTGTTGCTAGTGTTGTTGTGACCTCCTCCTCCTCCACTACCAGAAGTGGCGTTAACTGTACTGCCTCCGACATTGCCGTTACCAACGTTGGTATTATTATTATTACTGCCTCCACTGGCGCCGGGACTCCGGCCGCTCGAGGAACCGTTCTCCTGGGATCCGCTGCCACCGGACCCCTGAGCACGATCGTGGTGTCGCTCATGTCGGCTTTCATGTCTTGCTTCATGGCGGTCGGAGGACGGCGCACTCGTGCGCTCGGGGTGGCGTGGGTGGTCCAGGCGCTCGTCGAGCTCACGGGGCGGCAGTGCGTGCGGACCAAGCGAATAGTCCACGAACATTCCTCCCACTGTCCCGCCACTATGCAGGCTCAATCCTAGCCCATTATAGTGTTCACTATGTACGACAGTTTCCATTTCGATGGTTCACGATTCGGCGATTCAAAGCCAGCTACGTCAGCGTCAACGAAAGGCCGACGCGTCCTGCTGCTAAGTGGATTGTTATTATCACTATGATGATTAGTCGTACGAGCAGTACGTGGCACAAAGTAGAACAGTGATGATTACGTTCGCTTTTTTATTATTGCTCTGGTTTGTTCTACGTCAGTTGAGCGGTCGATGCTGCTGTTGGTGCAAATTCATTCCTTGCGTGCTTTGTTCTTCGTGTCCGTGTTCTTCCTTTAGTTCTGCTTGTTCCGCGATGCTGTTCTGGGCACTTTTAGCGCTGTTCTTTAGAGTCAGGCTTGCGTCCTAGTTTGCTTCCTGTATGATGCTACGGCCAGATGATGTAGGCATGAAACTGCAGATATCGCAGGTGGTATTTGCCCGTACTTCTCTCGCGGCTGCCACTTCTCGCGGGCTTATCGAGGCGTTCGGTTCATCGTGGCTAAGGCTCACCTCATCTTAGAAACCAAAGAAATCAACGATTACCATTAGGTTGATGCAAATAGAATAGGGATGGGCGGGAGAACTTTTCAAATACGAAAACTGCTGATATTTGGCCTAGATAATTCACACTAATTTCACACTGGCGATAACTAAAGCTTCAAGTCAACAACAACT